TAAAGTAATAAAAATGTGGTGAGATTTTTTTCTCTCTCATATACACAAATCACAGCTATACATTTTTAACTTTCTTATTCCGAGTACAAATCAATTTTGGCCAAGTTTTATGGGACGGATGGAGTATGATATAATGCTTTGGCCCACAAATACGTCGAATATAAAACTTTTTCAGGAAAATGAATATGAGGTGCCAGTTTCCATAATACTACAAAAGTCAAAAGAATAGAGGAATATGTATTCTAAAAAATGTTTGACCTTAAAAAATGCCATTTTAAAGAAACATACTACCCTATGAACAAACAGAGCTTAAATTACTATGAACTTACTGCTTCTCTCCTGTTTAGATTCTCTGCTAGGGTATTTAACTCACTCTCCTTCCTCTCCAGATCTACTCTACGACTCTCTGCTTTCTGCGCCCAAATAAAGAAAAGAATAATCAAATTTGCTTCCATAACATCTTCGCCACCCCTACTAATGAGATAACGCAGACCAATAAAAACTCACTTGCTCTTTACCAATTAGCTGCTCGAGTCTATTATTCACATCAACTTCTCTTTCTTTTAGGGCCAATTTGGCTATATCTAGTTTCTTCTGTTCATCTTCAACTTTCTTTTCTTTCAGGCTCAAAACCCTATCAAGTTCATTTGTCTTTTCTTCTCTCTCATTAAGGATTCTCCTACTGTCACACAGCTTCTGTTCCCTTTCTTGAAGTTTCCTCTCCCACTCTTGCAAATCGTGTTTGTGCTTGAAAAAAGTTACTTCATGTGCTTCTCGCCTGAAAAAATAGTACCAGGAAGGCAGGAATACAACATAATTCAATAAGTAGTTGCACTAGCCAGACGTCATCAGAGATAAGATTATAAAAAACTATGAAATTCAACAACATAACTTAAGTAGTTGCGCTAGAAAGATGTCATCAGATATAAGAATCTTTGAAATTCAAAAAGGCTCCATTGGTTTAAAGGAGAATACTCTTCTCAAACATGTGTTGGTACAGGAAAACACGTCGATCAAATGTTGGGAACCGGCTTCATTATTTACACTGATGGAACAGTTTTTTTTCTTCGATTTTGTAGATCAAACATATTATTTCCAAAAGAAAGACCATTTTCCTGGAAAACCATTAAAGGAATACATTTTCCACAGATTTTTTCCCCTGTAAAGTATGGTCCACAACAGGTTATTTTCCTAAAACAAAAAGAGCCTAAGTATAGACAAATTCTTACTCTGCATTGAAGGATAGACGCTCTGTCTTAAGGACACTTTCACGGGCATCAAGTTCGTGCAATTTCATGTCAAGCTCTAAATTCTTCCTATTTGCTTCTGCAAGCTTAGCATCAGCCATGTGCAACTTTTCTTGAACTTCCAGTGATCGATCCTGAAATCCGGCTTCTAGAGCACTAGCATCTGCAATTTTTGCTTCAGATGCAAGCTTGATCTGTTCATATTCTGTCTGTGTTTCTCGTAAAGCCTTCTCAAGCTATACAAGTGAAACATTAACTCTAGCATAAGAACGTCACTTAAAAAAATGCATCCATCCAGGAAATAAAATTAAACAAATACATTGTTGAAAGGACAAAGAACTCTTTACCAAAGCCAAAAGCAAATCTAGACATGAAAGAAACAGCCCTAAAGTCATTATATGTTAAATATGGTCATTCTGAATCAATAAACCATTTAATAATTTTATTTATTTCCATAGCACAAAAAACCCTAGGTGAAAGCATTTTATATTTTAAATTCTCCTTCACTCTCAAAAAAGGTTTTCACTCTCTTTCATAAAAACAGTGAATTATCAAGTGGAAAGATATTGCCAAATAAGTTCACTCTCTTAGCCCAAAGAAAATTAAGACTTAAACATGTGCCCGCCGACTAACACATTAATCATCAAGTATGCAGTTTTCAAAAACGAGAAAACATTACTTACATCAGCCACGCACTGCTTCTCATATCCCAAAGCATTTCTTAACTTTTCTTCCCGCTTCTCAACTTCAGCTATTGCTATCAAATGTGCTGTCTTCTCTCGTTTGACGATTTCTCTGGCTACTGCAAGTTCTTCTCCAAGTTCATTGTGCTTGGAAGTCCACTCCTTTTTTTCAATTAACAGCAGTCCCATATTGTATTGATAATCAAAAAGCTGGTCCGATATAAAATCGAAGAGTTATTGCATAAGATGCCAAAGCCCAAAAGTGAACCAAGAATGAAAGTGTGCATACAGTAACAACAGAAAAGGTTAATTTTCAAATGAATTAACAAACTAACGTCTAATATGATCCCTTAAATATCCAATTTAAAGGGGGCATTGCACCCAAAACTTTGTCTAGAAAAATGGTTCAAGCTGTAACAAGTCAAGTGCCCTCTGGTTCCAGGATAATAAACCAAAGTTCCAATATTCTACTGCCTCCGTCCCAAAACTATCTTCGTTTTTTCCTTTTCCATTCGTTCCAAAATAAACTCCATTTCCCTTTTATGGTAAACAATCTGTAGTTCATAACAATTATCTCTCTTTTGTGCAATTCTCAACCACACAACTTTCACCTCCTTAATCTACGCGAAAAGTCAAAATAGGAGTTGGTATTGGGACGAAGGGGGTATACCGTATACGGGTTTTGGACGTTATAAAATTGCTATAGGACATGATATATCTCCTCCCAAGATGTGCCAGGAAGCCTTAATATGTTACTACCTAATACCTAATGTATTCAGATTCAATTGCTACTCAGAAACGTGGGTCTCACTAGTCACTTCTCTAAAAACAAAAAATAAATAACAAAACAAGGAAATTTAATCCATACCCAATTCCATTTAAGTCTGGTCCACATAATTCCCAGTTTCCTACGGGCTGAATGAATCAAAGATTCCTCGCCTTTGATCAATAGATTATACCCTGATTATTTATGCACCTACTTTAAGGAACGGATTAGGGCACTAGTATGTTTTTATTGTACTTGAATGTGAAGCACAACATATAGCAACAACGATAACACCAACAAATATCAAATGTGAAAACTTTCTAAAAACCCTAACCTCTCTTTCGAGCCTTTCAGCCTTCTCAAGCAAAGCTTCGCGGTCTTGCCTCTCCATGGCAGCCTCATCAAGCAACCCAGCCTCCTTAAACCTCCTCCAATCCTCCATGCTCTCGGTATCCCTCACTCCCCTCACCCCATTATCACTCAAAAGCGCCACTGGCGGCGGAGGGGGCGGAGGGCCATCGACGAAGGCAACTGCCTTTCCTTTTCCTATAGTGGGAGGAGTCGGTGTCCTCAGTGGCCCACCAGTTTCAACCCGAGGGTTTATTGACAACGCCGGCCACGACTTCTTCTGTGGTGTAAACATCTGGACAAATCCTCAAATGCAACTCAAAACTTGGTCAGATCTTAAAAACGTGCAGAAATTGTTGGAACCCTTGATGGAATTTGGGATTTTCTAAAGATTACTGAAATACCCAATCTTGATTCGAGCAAGTGCAGAATGGAAAGTGGAAACTGGTGTCTGATTTCTTCGTACTTTGCTTAGAGCGTCGCTTGGCCAAGGGGGTATCCAATCATTCTTCCGGTGGTTTTACTGCTTGATTTACGATACTATCCTTTGGCTAAGCGGGCCATTTCGATTTTTGATGAAACGCCTACACCAATGTTTTACCCTCCAACGGTAAATTTTGTACGAACGCACGGTTGCCGTGAATATTTCTGATATAAAAAAATAGGGATATTGGAATCATTTCAATGTTGATGATATATGGTCATATGGATAGATTTAGGGTCTCTTTGCAACAACTTCTGCTTTTAAAAAAGTGTTTTTTTAATGAAATGGAGAAAATTGATTAAATAAAAGTTGATAGTGTTTGAGAAAAAAGTGATTTTGAAAAGTAAAAGTGGGTAGTGTTTGGTAAAATAAGTGTTTTTTGTGTAATAGAAAAAGTAAAAGCATTTTTGACACGGAAGCCGAGAAAAATAACAGTTGTAGTGTTTGGGAAAATAAGTGCTTTTTTAAAGCCAAAAGCTGAGAAGTGCTTTTTTAAAAGGAGTTGCAAACCAACCCTTAATACGAGAGTAACTAGTACATGAAATTGTATTGACGCGAGTAACTAGTACTTCATCTTGCATTTGAAATTTTAAAGTACATAAACTTGTATTTTTATAGTCAATCAAGTACATTTGCTTTGTCTAGACATTAAAATAGCTGACCTGGTCAAACTATTTGTTTGTATGATATAGTTGCAGTCCAAGTCATCAAATAATTAATCTATAAATTCTATTTTCCTCCAGTTCACTCGTTTTCACCTTCGCTCTTCATCTTATATTTTTCTCGTCTGCTCACCCTAAGGGCGGGTTGGGCCCAGGCCGGGCCGAGCTCAGGTTCGGGCTGGGGCGGGCGGGCTCCGGGTTATAAATATTTAGGCCCGCTACCGGCCCGGGTTAGAGCTGGGACCAGGGCGGGGTCGGGAAAAAAATATATTTTTATTTTATTTTGTTTTTTACAATTATTTCGAACCCCCTCCCCCCAAACCGTCCAGCTCCACCCACCTAGAACCAACCCAACCCGATAAATTTTAAAAAATATTATTTGGGCCCCGAACAGGCCCGGTCTGGCCGGTCCACCTATTTCTAAGCCCGTAGCCCGCTTCTATAAGCCCCAGGATCGGGCCCTAGTCCCGGTCCCAAACCCCCGGGTCGGGTCAGGCCTGTATAGTAATGGGTCGGGCTGGGTCTCTGGTCGGGCCGAATTGGCCCAGTCCACCCCTAGCTCACCCTTCTCTCCGCTCTACATCTTATAATTATCTCGTCTGTTCTCCATGCCATCCAGTTGGCTTCTTCTTTATTTTCTTCTTATCTTATCTTAAAAACTTATAATTGCCAATGAAGGTTAGGGTCTTTTGGGAATGAAAAAAATGTTGGTGTAATCAACTAGCTTAATGAAATTGTACACTGTGTTTTAAGATATGTACCTTTTTAAATTAACTCATTTTTACATTAAAACGTCACCGTTATGCCTCCGTTCATCTGCCTCTCACCGTCAAAAGTTTTCCAGCTTAAACCATATGCAATTGCCTTCATTCTGCGTCGATTCTACATCGATTGAGCTTCTTTGCCTGCCGCGAGTCTTCATCTCCGTGTCGATTAACTCCCAGTGCCAGCTGATTGCTCAAACTATCACATGCTCACCACCCCTCTTCTCTCGTTCCTACAACCCAAACAAGCGATTGAATCCGGGGTTTCTCTCCCCGGCCGCGCAAGTCTTCTTCCCGACCGATTGTCATCCATTTTCTGGTATGTGTAAATTTCTCTTGTTTGTGTTTCTCTTCTTTCCCTATTCCTTCTTCATATTCTACATTGGGTTTGGTTTAATTGATTCAATCAACGCTAAGTAGGGTTCAACCCCTCACAAATATACGCCTCCATATTCATAAGACATGGATTTTCGAACGAACCTAATATAGAGATTTGATTGTTACAGAGATTATGCGCAACGGCTGGTTCTGGTGCTGCATAGTTGTGGGTTTTCATAGCTTTGGGTACGTGCAGTTCTTCTTTTATATTGAACTTAAGCTATGCTGACTCCTATTATTCTAATTCTAATTTTGCTATACAGCTTTGTTCTTAATTTCAGGTAAAGTATTTAGCATCACAAGCTACAACATAATTCCCAGCCCTATAGTAATTATATTTCAAATGCAATAATACTCAACCTTTAAAGGTAGTATAATTAGTAGAACGGATTATTCTATACTTGGTATGTTAAAGTATTATTCACTATGTACTCCGTATCTTTTATACTAATGCAGAATGTCAATAAGATTAATATTGTTACACTTTCAGAGTGGTTACCCAGTATTTTACTTTTTACAAACTGAGAGTTTAAGAGTTAATAAGTTTGATAGCTACATGTTTGCTGAAATGTTAACATGACACTCTTTTAGTACTTTTAATACTTAGATAGTTCAATGGTTAAAGTTAAAGTGGTTGGGGGTCTGCAATGGTCGAAGTTTTTTACCATGATATGGATGTTGAGTTCCTCTTGAAGCTTCAATTACTGATTGCATTCTTGCTAACGAATTATGTATTTGACATGATAGGTAATAAAACTCTAAGTTACTAGCTCCCTCTCAAAGACAGTCCAAACATTAAGTTGGTTATAGTTACTCTAATATATTTGTGTATAGCTATTAACTTGAAACTGTCAAAGACTATTTAAATAGGCTTTTCTTCACTTATTTCCATTCTATTTACTTTTAAGGTTGTGATGTTAATTGTACTAACAGGAAATATTACCATAGTATTCAATTTTTCCATATTTTATGTTGTTACTTGTTAGTCCAATTAAAATTATTTAAGTTGAACTCTTAGTAGTTAGTTTTTCTCATGGACATATTAATTTTTTTAAGGTCATGTTGAAAGGAAATGATTATAACCTTAGTGGTCTCTTAGAAATTCAAAAGCAGCTTATTTCTAAAAATGGAACTCCGTATTAATGTTTTTCATCAACTTACAATTTTTTGTGAACTGTAAGTTTAACTAGAAGAGTTTGCCTTAAAAATTTATGGCATCCAATGTGTTTCTGAGTTTGTCCCAGTGAGAGCTTGTCTCTCTAATTAGTGGTTAATCTGAATCTATGCAAATTGTATGTAGAATTTAACTAGGAGAAGTATCAAACCAACAATACTTAAGGAGTGTTTGGGTTTGCTTAAAAAAAGCACTTTTCAGTTTTGGCTTAAAAAAAGTTGAAAAGAGTGTTTTCAAATGACAGCTTCTGCTTAAATTAATCACTTAAAAGCTAAAAACTGGAAGCAGGTAGAAGGGTGCTTTAAACTGCTTCTCACTTTTTCTATTACACAAAAAGTATTTATTTTACCAAACACTACCAACTTTTACTTTTTCAGAATCACTTTTTTCTCAAACACTACCAACTTTTACTATTAATCATTTTTCCCAAAATCACTTAAAAAAATCACTTTTTTAAAATTGAAGCAATTGCAAATGTTAAGAACACATGTTTTCTTAAAAAAATTAAGAACACATGGTTCCACCATTCTATGTATTTCATGTTAAGTACTGTTAAAAACACTATATAAGTTTATATTCTCTTTTACCCATAGCATCTTGTAGTGTAAGTAACACTTTATAGTTTAGACAAAATTTGGAAAAACTTATTCAATAACTGATTTCGAAGAATTTAGTTTATCCCTAAAAAGACATATCCCCAAGGTCTAATGAAGGAACCAAGTGCAAAGAGACTGGTTGAGAGTTGAGACCAAGACCTCCTACTAAACATGAATATTTATAAGCTCGTTCTCCTTGCACCTCTGTGCACCCATTTTTGAACAAAAGTGGACAAGTTTGTCCTAGTTAACCAATATCATGGCACTCCTCAATTATAATTCTGCTGGGCGCAACCCACTTAAATCGGAGGTTCACCCCACAAAGCAATAACTTCCGTTTTTTTACTAAACTTAAATAAGTCAATAACTGTCCTTATTGCTTCTTTTTAAAATAAAAATAAATTTTAATGTTTCCCAAAATTTTGTGTAACATGTTCTCAAATACACTTAAATTCTTGATACAATCGGGATTACACTTTCTAACTACCATCAAACAACTACTATATAAATATTTGGAACCCATTATTAATTTTTTTTATAGTTTTTTGCAATCTTCTTATACAATGGGGAATGAATCTGAAAATTATCTAAAAATTTGTACTCTTGATTTTCACACTTATGAGGTATTCATCTACCCCACTATCTGTATCTCAAGTTTTTTTTGTGATGTGATTCATTAAGCTTGTCGTATACAATATTCGTTAATATTTTGATGGTCATACATATACTTTTTCATTCATCTCTATATTGAATAATATTGTTTTTATTCTATTATCATATAACTACAATATGACAGTATCTAGGATGTTCTTAATAGAGATGTTTTTTTATATCGAATCAAACTAAATCAAATTTCAATAGTTGTATAACACAGATAGAAAAAAACACTCGCACATAAACATACATCTAACAGGGCAGACTAGTTCAAACTAGACTAAACCAAACTTAAATAGAACAAATAAGATAAGATTACACCAGATTATACTAGACCAGTAAATTTCAATTCAATTAAAAACATCCTTATCTGTATTATAATAATAAATGATTGTCACCCAATAATTAATATTTGTCAAACTAATAAATTATCGGCTCCTATATACTTCCTCCGTTTTTAAATAAGTGTGACAGTCAACTTTTCACATTTATCGAGACACGACTTTGACCGTTAATATATATAATTCTCTATCAGTAAAAAAAATTTAAAAAATCATATTGTGAAAATTTATAATGAGACAAATTTAACAATTTTTTTTCAAAAATATATATTAACACATTTATAAATTAAACGTAGTCAAAGTAGAATATGTGAATAGTGTAATGATTTCACATTACAGTCGTATATGTTAGATGACTATATTTATGATGTGAATGTTATTTAGGATGTTTTTAATTGAACTGATTTCGAACCAGATAGATTCAAACAAATACGATCAGATCTGATTAGACTAGATATAATCACGAGACTTGACCAGATTTTTTTAAAAAAAAAATTACATGTATAATATGGGTTTTATATGAAAGATCATAAAAAGATATTTAATTTGGTATAACTTTTATAAAAATCTGAGCAAAAATAAAAAAGTTATGACATTTATAAAAAAAGGAATTACTTGCCAAGCAATTCAATTCATGTTTTAATGGAGCCGAGCGTGAAACTGTTGAGGTGCGCAAAGCAATTCTATTTCACGTTTTAATTTTGATTAATAATTAAGAAGGTTAAATTTGTCTATCCGTAGTTACGTTAAGCAATTTTGGGGTGCGCGAAGCAACCCCCATATTTATATATCAATTTCCTTCGATCACATGTGACACTGCATTTTGCATTCCTGAAGATGTTATTTCAGCCCAATCACTTGGAGTAATCACCGCTTAAGTTAAATAAGGAGATGGTCATGGAAGAAGGTTGTTAGGTTTTAACATTACTATGTTAAAAACCATATTTGAATGTATAAACATTAGTATTCCGTTATAACATTAGATTTTGACAAAATATGCTTTGAGGTGCTTTGTGCCATTAATTCTGCTAGGGAAGCTCTCTCTGGAGTAATCAGGGGTCAAACTCACTCCATTGAGTTTCAAATCCTTATGTGTCTAGCGGGTTTCGAACTCGATACCTCTCACTAGGCACGATAACCTCACAACCAGCTGAGCTGGAATGCTTGGTTTTTGACAACATATGCTTTGAGGTGCTTTGTGCCATTAATTCTGCTAGGAAGCTCTCTCTAAAGTCTTCATCATCTGCCAATGGTAATGATAAAGCTCGATGTGCATTAGAGTGTTTAGGCCTGGTGATGGGAAGAAGGTTGCTATCTTGTTAGGTAGTGTGATTTGCAAGACAGTCAATTTTCAATGGTGTTAGGAAGATTTGTCTTCTCTCCATCCCTACTGAGCAATTTCTCACCTATCTTATCCCATAAAGCTCAATATTGGATTTTCCTTATAGGGTTAATGTTTTTATTGATATACAGAGTAGTTTTTAGCTTGTGTTAAAAAATAATATAAATAGAAGTGTCATTTTAGAATTTAATAGAGACTATTAAATCTAAATTATGATCAAGTCGATCTTCCTTAAAATGGTTGTTTTAATTTCTTTTAGAATGTTGTTACATAGCATAGCCGATACAGATTGATATTATTAGAAAACCCTATTGTATTGAGTGAGGTGCTTCGAGCCCAACGGCTCATATTTCGTCAAAAACATTGCATGCTAAGTTATACGAAGTATAATTTTTTATTTTGTATCTATATGTACAAATGATTTATGTACTATCAAAATAATTTTAGAAGTTAAGGGACTAACAAAATAAAAGTTTGACACTTCAAAGATTTCCCTCTACCTAGCTAGGCCTTAGCATTCAATTGCAAAGTAGTCATATAAAATGAGGTTATATGTTTTAAGCTATTTACAAAATAAATTATATTGGGCATTTAGAAAATCGTGTAACGCGCGTGTGAAAACTAGTACTCTAATAAAGATGGACCGATGAAGAAATCGGCGGCGTAACAGGGAGAGAAGATGAAAGAGAATGATAAAAAAAGTGGTGGAGCTAGAGGGGGCCAACCTATGCCTTGGTCCATCTCATATTTTTTTAAAAAGCTTTTATTTTATAGTAAAAAATTGTGTTATCCCCCTCCACCCCCCAAAAAAATATTCTTTGTACTGTTCCAGCCCGACCTATTGCCCCGGCTCTGCCCTTGGAGAGCAGATGAGAAAAATATAAGATGAAGAAGAAAGAAGAGAGAGCAAATGTGAGAAATATAAAATGAAGAGTGAAGGTGGAAACGAGTGAACTAGAGGAAATTAGAGTTTATAAATTAATTATTTGATGACTTGGACCGAAGCGATATATTACAAATTAATAGATTGGTCAGGTCAGCTATTTTAACGTTTTAACAGAGCAAATGTACTTAATCAACTTTAAAAATGCAAGTTCATGTAAACCACATATGAGATCGTGATTATGTGTGTTACCTATATTATTTTTATTATAGTTCCTCACAATAAAAATGCAAGTCCATCAATTAAGTACACTTGCAAGTTCATCATAGGTGACTCGACATAGGTAAAGACACATAATCATGATCACATGTTACATATCATAAGCTAATACAACACATAATCTTCACACACTCATCACACGTGACTCAACATATGCAAACACACATAATGATGACTGGGGCGGAGCCAGGATGAGGGTTCAGGTTGGGCCGGTTGTAAACTAAAAACACCATATAAAAATTTTAGGCTAAATGAAAACTATAAGCTTATATAAATCTCATCTTTA